TAGACTTCTTGTAAAAATCAGAACAACTTGAGAAAATTTCTAAATCTTTACTTAAACCAAGATAAAAATGTCAAACTTTGACATCTACAGAGAGAGAGAGCATGAAACTAAAATATGACAATCAAATCAAAAGCCACATTACAAAAGATCACTGCCTGCAACTGTTTGACTAGCCTTCTCTGTGTATAATGCCACAACAAATGGGATTTATGAGCAGAGGTGTGGGAGAAGAAAATGCTACACAAAAGGAGAAATTAGTTAAGGCCTTCAGGGTATACAGAAATGTGTGCTTAACATAGGAATTGGAATTATTAGCAGCAAAGGAAAAATGTGTGTTATTAGTTCATTCCATTATGGAGGTATTGAGTTGAAAATTGAGATAGGTTTACTCACCACACATATCTGCAATCTGACAAGAGTATTGGAAGAAGAGGGTCAGTGGAAATAGGATACATTGGCACGTCAAAAAGCAAATATAAAAGCAAATGAAGCATTAAGATCAGAAGAATGTTTAAAATAAGAGAGATTATTGTGATCATAATGATGCGCCAAAATTATGAAAAGGGGATAAGAAATAAGCATAAAAACTGAAAGAAAAAGGCACAAATAAAAAAAAGCAATTGATGCTATCTCATCGTTATGGTTGATAGTGTTTGCTTTTTGGTTAAGAGTATTAGAAAATCATGGTTGATAGTATTGCTTTTTGGCTAAGAGTATAAAATTGTTTAAATTACAACTTTCAATTTTATGAATAGGTTTGATGTCATTTAAATATTGTGAACAGTACAATGGTGCTTATACTATTTTATAATATTGAAATGACTACTCTGTGGGAAAGTTTAAGGTTTGAAAAGGTATTTTCTCCCCTTTAATGTGTATGTAGTATTGAGCTTTATAAACTTAGTACATAAATGTTCCAGTTATTCTATTGTAACAGTTATTCATCAACTGTAGAAATAAATGTGGATATTGATTGTAGTTCTATTTCTATTCCTTCCAAATACATAAAGTCCTCTGAGAGTAAAGAAAGATATTTTGAGTGAAATGCTAATATGATGGCCATAAAAATCAGTGAATATGTTCATATGAATAGAGTATAAGAATTAAAATATCTTTACTGCAAGAAAGAAACTTGTTTGGTTTTATAAAATCACTTAGTTTTATTATGAACAATAAATATAAAGAAAAACATTTGAGATTTCTTGCAAAATAATTGAAATTTAAAAAGCTGAAGCATTTCTCAAAGCAAAGATCTTTTCGAAAAATGTTTTTTTCTATATAAAAAATCAGGAATGCCATTTTATTTGAATTTTTAACTTGAAAACATCATCTTTTATTGCACGAGGTAATAACCAAAATATTAAAACCAATTTTGTGAAATTGATAGTTATAAAAACTAATCTTTATGGAAATTTGTAAGTCTAAAGAATTTTAGTTGCCTTGTAAATTTGTATGTAGATGATCTTCAGTTAGAATGCTTGTTTTTATGTTGTAACATTTCAGTTGAAAAGTTTAGTGTTTAGTAAAATTAACAGTGTAAAAAAAAAAAAAAAAATCTAGTGCCAATTATAATATGAACTTTTTAATGCCAATAACTCATTAGATTTAGATGCAAGTGGATCCCAAATAATCTTGTCAGACTCCTATAATACTGAAGATCTGCCTAATGAGAAACAGTTTGAAAAACTATACAACAATATAATTTGGTAACAACTTAAATGTGAAGAGAATTATTAAATCGTTTGAGCATTAAAAGCACAATGATTGTATTAAACAGGTTTGGAATTTTTTTTAATGCCTAATACATTAACATGATGAGAGAATATAGTTGAAGAAATGGAGCATGTTTAATTTTTTTTAGCATCTAAATTTTGGTCTTAAGATTGAAGTATTTTACAAACCTTTTCCTGCTCTCAAATGAGGTATTTCAGAAAATGGACAATGAAAAAAAAGATTTGTATTTTAATGGCACAGAGTCAGATCTAATAAGATGACAAATTCATTTTGCATGTTATAAAACTGAAATATAATATAAATTTTTTTTTTTCCCCATTATTTTAAATGTTTCTTTTCTGATAAATATTATTGTTGGGCTCAATTTTAAGTCTGTGGATTTGAAAAGCACATTAAAATTGAGCCCTGAAATAATATCGCTGTGTAATAATTTTCTGGACAAGGACTGGAATATTATGAAGCTAAATAAGAATTTCTAATAAAATCCCACCTTCCTATGTTTTTTTTTTTAATGTATCAGTAGACAAAACATATCTTAGTATAACCCGCTCCCCACAAAAATAGATAAAAAAACAGATAATATGAATACAAATGAAATTAAAAATAAATTCCTTTTAATTTTGTCTATTTTATATTTCATTATATTTTCACATTGGGTGTGTGGTTGAGTGGGTTACAGCATTAGTGTCCCAACCAGAAGCATGTGATACCATTGGGAAGTATTTGAAAACCATGCCACAGAACGACACAAGCCTTTTGAGTGAAATTGGGTAGATGAAACTGTTTGACCAAGGATTCAAACTTACTGACCTTGTTCAACCACCTGATCATGCCAGACAGAGTGCTCTCTCCAAGAAAATGTAAGTAAAGTCTACCCAATATGGTTAATATAAACCACAGGTTGTGTTGAAGCACAAATATGCAACCATTATTATTATGTTCCCACATAGGTAAATAATCTATTTTCATTATATCTTTTTTTGTTTGTTTTGTTTTGAAAGCAAATTAATTTTAAAGCAAGACAGAAAATTTAATACTCAATCATATTCAATAGCAACTAGGCTTTTGTTGTTTTAATTGATTTAGAAAGTCATGGGCATAAAAATCTAATTATATTTATTAAAATCATTATCAAGCAGATGAACTTAAATGGCAACATCTTTATTATGGCAACAATATTAAGTTAATGTTTAATGTATACAATATAGAAGCAGTAAGAATTTTACAAAGAGAATAGTAGTTTATTGCACAACTGACTATTTTGAGAATCATTTATTTTGGGGTTCACAGGTTTAAGATGATTTAATAATATTGTATTTAAAAAGATATGTAATTAACTGGAAAGTCTTTACTTCCACTCACAACATTCCCAATGCATTTGTCTAGTTGTAAAATATGAGATCTCATGATGACTAGCAAAAATAACACTAAAAACAGTAAGGTTTTCTTTTAGAGAGTAATTTATCACAAGTAAGATTGGGTTTGTTCATGACAATGATTTTTAGGTTTCAGATAAAATGGAATAAATTACTTTTAGTAATAAGAACACAAGGCACTGACAAGATGCTGACAGGTTTCAAAGTAAAAAAAAAACAAAAAAAACAATACCCTTCCCCCAAAATCTTATATAATTAGTTTTCTCTTTATACTAACCATTATAGTTTGTGAGAAAAAAATGATTATCATCAGGTTATAATTAAATACAAAGGTTTTATTTTATGGAACAAGAACAATAAAAAAAAAAAAAAAACAATCTGCCAAACTATAAACTGCAATGAAAAACATTAAAATTCATGTGCAAAATTAAAAGCATTCATAAAAATACAAAGATATTTAATAATACACACACACACACACACACACACACACAGTTTGATCAAAAAGTATTGAGACTGTTGCTGTGGTAATGGAGTTAATGTACACAGAGTCCTAGTATCTGATCCCAAAAGCACAGATTGTTCTTAAACTCTATTGTGCATACACACTAAGATATAATGTTCTTGCTCATTTCTGTTGTTTATAGCAGTGTGCGGAAGGAACGTGTGCAGAGTGTGGTCATCTTACCACACTATAAAAGGTTCCATCTGTGACCATGGTTTGTGCAGTAGTTTTTGTCCAAGGACAACATTCTCTAGGTCCAACAACCACCATATTCCCCAGATCTTGCCCCTTGCCTCTTCAAAAATCAAATCCCGCTGCAAAGTAACAAGATTTCAAGACTTTGAGGAAATCCCAGAGAACATGACAAGGTAACTGCTTGCTATCCCCCCCCCACCAAAAGAGCTCCAAGAATGCTTCCTTTTATCAATGGAAACAACAGTTGATAAAGTGAGTAGATTCAGAATGTGACTATTTTGAAGGAAATTAAATACCAAATATGTGTTGTAGTTATCTTTTTATAGCATCAGTCCCAATACTTTTTGATAAGATCTTGTGTACATTTACTGAAGCTAAGAAAATTTATTCTAAAAATTCATAAATGAAAATAATGAGGCTTCTTCATCTAATGGTGCCATAGAATAAATTCAAAATTTGATATATTTAAATACTTTTGAATCTTGATCTATGGATATGTGAATAAAATTTGTCAATTTACTTATCAGATGATAACATTTAAACATTTTTTGCCATTAAGGAAATGTTTTGTTTTTGAGATGTGATTGGTTACATCTCCCATATGATCTTAGGCAATTTAAAGAAAAGTTTTAGAACTAATTTAACATCAGGAATTTCCCTTTTAGAAGCAGGAAGCACCCAATCTCATGTTTTACATGTATGGAAAGAAAAGAAAAAAAAAGTTTTTTGTTCAACTGAATATAATAATGAATTTGTCATAAGGTATTGTTATCTTGAAAATACTGTTTATTTTGTGGTGTTCTATTGCAGGTATATATGAAAAAGAAAAAAAAGGGGTTGTTAAATTTTAATTTCATTTTTAAGAAATATAAGGCACACTTTTTATAACTAAATGGGAGCATCAAATTTATAATGAAGAATTTTATTATAAATGTTATTGATAATTCTTAAAGCTTACTCTTTTAATCCTTCAGAATTATAAGACTTTTTAATAGTAACTCGTCTAATCCTTCCGAATTACTAACATTTATAACAATAAAAAAATCTGATTCTCTCACCCAGTTATAAAAAGTCTGCTTTATACAAAAGCACCCCTTAATTAGGGAGACATGATTAAAAAAAAAAAAAAAAAAAAAGAAAAAAAAAGAGGTATAAAAATATTTAAAAAAGAATTGTTTGTTAACACTTACTTTGATTGTCAGATTTTCCATCAGATTCCTTCTTATCGGCATTGGCCTCAACTGATTTTGAAGCAGGTTTTGGATGATCGACAGATTTTTTATCTGACTTTAAACTTTCTATATTCTTTTTATCACCTTTCTCACTCTCTGCAGACTTCTTGTCTAACTTGCTAGCTTCCATGGATTTGAATTTTGTACTGTCTGCACCTTTGAACTTTGCACTTTCCATTGGCTTGAATTTGGCTGTTTCTATCCCTTTAAATTTGGAGGTTTCCATAGGCTTGAAGTGTAATGAATCCATTGACTTAAACTTGGAGCTTTCCAGTGATTGGCTATTGTCAAACTTTCCCATAGTTTTGTTCTCTGTTGTCAGCTGTTTGAAATCCGTCTTGGATGGATCCACCTGTCGGAAGGCCTCCGAGGTTTTGTCCGTTTTGCTTTCCAACAGCTTCTGTTCTGATCGAGCTTGTTCCAAGGCTTTCCGACGACTGCTTCCAGATCCAAATGTAGTTCTATGTTGTAAAAAGGAGGGGCTGCTAACAATTGGCTTGCTGCCAAAAGTACTGGCAGGAGCTGTGTGCAAAGGTTTGTTTGGGTGGTTATCTGATTTTGCATTCGAAGACATATATGAACTATGCAGGAATGCATCACTACCTTGACTATTCCCAGAAGTCTGAAAGGCTTTTGGTAAAGTGGAGAATGGGGTCTCCAGTTTACCAAATTTGGGAACTGAGTCTGGTTTGGATTTGTTGTCCATATTCAATTCAAGGTGTGGGCGCTCAGGTTCTAATTGTGGAGGGGGAGAACTGCCATTGTTTGAACGAGTGTTACCACTAACATTGTCTGATTTTGACTGGTCTGAAAGGAGTAAAGAAATCCGAATTTAAAAAATAATAATTTTTAGTTATAAGGAATTTATTGTTAAATATACAGTCATCAGTTTCTTTTCATAGTCATAAAAAAATACATTGCATATACACACACACAAACATATGTACACACATGAGAGAGAGGGAAAGAGAAAAAAAAGAAAAAGAAAAAAGATTTCCAAACAAGTTTTGTTGAATTCAACCAACAAGATTAGTCAGATTCATTTTTTATTCTGCTTTTACTAATTTTCAAATAAAATGTTGTTTGAATTAATTCTTGTTGCCTTATCATATATATATATATATATATATATATATATATATATATATATATATATATATATGTGTGTGTGTGTAAATATATAGAAAATAGGAAAGAACTCGTTAAGTAAATAATCCAAAGTTCTTTGGTATTTTTGTTATTATTTTTAAAAAATATTTCTCGATACAAAAGTAGAGCACAAATATAATTATTTATTTAAAAATATGATTCCAACACGCTACATAAGAGGTCTCATGTTTTCAAACAAGAGCCGAAAACTTCAATATAATTATTTGAATTAAATTGAATTAAAGTATGCTCTGTTCCATCTTCAAGCAAAATTTTCTTTGGTATCCAAAAAAAATTTTATTTTTATATTTTTTATATATATATATATATATATATATATATATATAGTGAAATAAAATATAGTTTTAAGATATGCCTTATGAATAAAAGTTCTCAATATCTGGGATTGTGTGTGTGTGTGTGTGTGTATATATATATATATATATATATAAAATGCAAAGGTTATTAAAAATAAAAATAGATTAAGAACAGTGTAGGCATTTTGATAGATAAAGTTGACTGAACAATTATATTCATTTAACTATTAGTAAATTTCTAAATTAGTAAAGATATTTTTTCACAGAACATGAAATTATTTAAATTTAAAAAAAAAAAAAAAAAAAAAATGAAGATCTATATCAGATAGATAAAATAACATGAAAAAAACTAAAAATGTCTGGGTTTAATCAGTGTTAAGATAACTAGGATTATTTTTTTTTGCTTTAAAATCACAATGAATTAAACTTGTCCAACAATAGTTATCAGTTCTGATGATATCAATTTCATACATTACAAAAACACAGACATCAGTAGCCTCCACCTACCTGCTTATGTAAGATGTATGTCATACATTAAGAAAAAAAATTCTTCACCCACTTTAAAAGGTCAAAGAGGCAAAGGAGTAATAAAACTATCTGTAAAAAGGAGGTGCTTCTAACAATGCTGTTTTTTCATTCATCTTGATTTTTTCCTCTTCAGCTATTTTTGTTTTTCATTTTTCTCTAGCTTCCTTTCTTACCCTCCTTCATCCTCTACCTTGCTTTTTTAAATTAGATAATACTTTTCAGATTGTGCACAGATATTGCACTGATACCAGGCTGAGTGCACAGATATGTCGTTCCTACCCATAGCAAGGATCATTTATATAAAAATATGAAGTCACTCTACTTTTTTTAACAAGTTCCATAAAAATTAGGGTTAATTTGTTTTCATATCATTATTAGTTATAAGTTAGGATAAAATGATACACTTCAAATTTGAATGAGATAATGGCATCCAATTTACAAAAACAAAAAAAAAATGAAAAAAACAACAACTAAGTGATTTTAAAACAGATATAGTTACAGATAATGATTCCTGTTTCTGTTTAGATGTTAGTGCTGGTATTTTTTATTTATCTTTTCTCTATATAAATCCCATTTCATTCATCTAAATTTCTTATGGTTCTCTTACAGATAATGATTCCTGTTTCTGTTTAGTTGTGATGCCATGCATTTTCTATTTTACAATTCACATGGCTTTGGGTTTTCAATCCTGATATTTTGTCATCTTCTATAGTTTACCTGTATTCTTTCCTTTTTTATAACTTTCCTATTTAGTTTATAGGATGCACCAAATTTTAATCTTTTATTATACTTCATGTTAGATTTCATTCTTGAATTTTGAAGGAAATTAATAATGCTTTCCATTGTTCCAACTAAATGCTCGCTTGTTGGAGTCAGGTTTCCTTTTAATTAGCCAAGTCTAACAGCTCATTAGGGTCTGTAACCACTCACTTTTAATTATAGACTAATTTGCATATTCAGATTTGTGCTGGTATTAGTTTTAGAAATACAAATTATGAAGTGATTCCTTAATTATTTCTTTTCTTTTACTTAGAAAAAAATAATCCATTAATCCAAATAATCTAATTTGTTTGTGGTATATTTCATGATGCCAGAAAGTTCAGCTATTAAACTAATATTTTGTTTCATGTATGTGATTTATTTAATTGCTGAAAAAAAGAAAAGAAAGCAAGCTGTAAGTGTAGTGATTCCATAATTTTCCTTTACTTGATATGCCATTAATTTAAATAATCTAATCTATTTGAGATTTATTTTATGAAACTACAATGTCCAGTTATGTAACAAAAATTATTTTTTGTCAAATCTATGACTTTTTTTTAATGTTTTTGCAAAGTAAAAAACCTGGATTTAAGTGTGGTGATTCCATAATTTTGTTGAGTTATAACTGTTTTCCAACAACTGAGAGTGTGTATGTGTGTTTTAACCATATAGCTAAATACCTACTAGAGAGAGTTAAACTTAAAACTGGATAATACTCTCATGATACAAAACTAGTTCTATGTCAAGCAATTTATCAGGATTTTTGCGAGTAATTTGATACAAGTTTAAGGCAAATTTGATTAATATTTGGATGTAACAATATTTTCAGAAAGATTAATCTCCTCATCTTAATTGATCTTGACTGTATTTTGAGTTTGACTGTATAATATTAGAGCTTCTTCATAAAAAATCCAAAAGGAACCTCTGTTGATTATATATGGGAGAACAACCTATAATTCAATATTGATTCAATGTAAAATTGAATGAAAGTTTTAACATAAAATATAACAATAATTTTCTAGTCTTACAATTGAAAGCTATCCAACAACAATTATTGAAAATAAATGGAAACAGAGTTCCTGGATATTATGGAGATTTTATCTCTAAAACTTCTCTCTGTTAAGGTTTAATCTCTCACCTTCTCTCGCCTGTTACCCCTCTCTTTAGCTAACATTCGTCCCACACACTCATACTTACACTCTCTAAATTCTATTTTTACTTCCGGAGTTGTTTTTTCTGTTTTCTTTTTGAATTTGTAGGTCTGATGAATTGGATCGTATTTACGATTACAATGGAATAAATTATGACCACGGAATATTAGTGTTTAAGCCTTTTTATTATATCCTTACTCTGTCCTGGACATTGAGTTCTACCTGGATTCTATCCTCTTGGAATTTTTATTCAAAAAAAATATACATGTATGTGTATGCACCTATTTATATATTTTGCATATGTATGTGTATATAATTTACCATATAATATTATATATATATATATATATATATATATATATATATACACACACACACAAAAGTCACTTTCTTTTCAGCTGCTAAATGTGCAAATATATAAGAAGATTAAAAAATATTTAATATTCAACTGTTTCAATATCTAGCTTAGGGAGAGATTTGATTTTTTTTGTTTAATGACATATCAACTCCTTATGGGTCATTTAATGCCAAAATTTAATTTTCTTGGGAACTTTGGAGTAATAAAAATATGATATATTTTATTCTGCTTTCACAATTGAATACTTAGTAGATAATACTCTGTTTTGTGCATATACATGTTTGTGTGGACATAATTAGTAGAGGTATAATGTGTGTTTTATGTAGCTTTGTTGAAGTTATATTTTGGAAAAGTTTTTCTCCAGTATTATAGGATATTAGATGGATCAATATCAGAAAAAAAAAGTTCTTTCATGTTGGATGTTTGATTTTGTTTAGTGACATCAACACCTCTATGGTTTATTTAATGACAAAATCTAAATATTTTGAACACAATTGTATGCCTTTAACTACAGATAAAATGTATTGTTGGTAATTCTATTATAAATAGGTATTGTTGGTAATTTTTATTTAAATATGTATTGTTGGTAATTTTACTATAAATTTTTTTTTTTATACTTTCGTAGTGTTTTGCTTGTTTGGGGGTTCACTATTTGTCCATAGCTGGGACCCTAACAGGTTCTACCACCCCAGGAGACAGCGGACATGGGGACAACAGTAATTAAGAGGTGGTTTCACACTCCTCAAAACTTCCTCTATCTTAGGGAAAGATAGAAAAAAAAAAAAAAAAAAAAAATTTTTTTTTTTTTTTCTTCACCTTTTCTGGTGGGTGGCACTTCTTTGGACTGGGCAGAAAGGGTAGGTGGAGATAGATTGCTTTCTGTTAATTCAGAAGAGGTTTCTTTCTTGATCTGTGGTTGCCGATTTGGTTTCTTTCTGCTAGGTTCAGGGCTAAAAGAAATGATCATAAAACAAAATTGAATAAACAATTATGGACACTGACAAGAATGCAAAAAGAAAAACACTAATAATCTTTTTTATTTTACAGATCAGACCTTTTCTTCCTCAGCACCCCTTTTTAAGATATTTGCATAGGTAGGTGCCCCCACCGTGTTAGAATTACACTGGTAAATGGAACAGAGTTAATGCAACAGTGTTAATGCCATGTGTTTATGTTTTGTTGAATTACAGCAGTACCAAATACAGGAAGTAAGCTGAGGGTTGGTCACTGGGTCAGAGCAGAGAAGCATTTGGACTTTAGATGGCTGCTTTTTGCTTCATACACATTTTGCAATTGTAGGTAATTTTAAAAAAAAATTAAAAAATGCAAATATATAGGTAAAAAGACAAATGCATATATAAAATATTGTAACTACAATTAGGTTGAATCATTTTACAGCTCTCTTAAAATTACATGACACTGGAATGTCACTTCTGACACTTGAAAGGATTGCCTTGGACAAGAAGAAATGGCAAAGCAGTGTAGACAAGAAGTGCTTAAGAAGCTCTTTGGGATTATTCATTTAACTAAAATTATAGCATCTCTTCTGAACACTTATTGCCCTCTTGAGAATTCATAGCACCTCCAAGAGGGCATTACTGGCCACATTGAGAATGACTGTTACAGACAATACAATTAGCATTATGATTGGAAAATGAACAAATATCACTGCACATAAAGCAATGAAAGAGTTCCTTGTTATGATTAATATTTGAAAAATATAAATTGTGCTAAAGAAATGTGATAAAAACTGTTTTTGGCCCTGATTAATAAAACAGGTGGAAAATTTCCAGTGTATTATCACCAAATGTTATCCATGAATAAGCTTTTTCTTTTACCATTTTTAAATGTACATGTTTTAGATATTTATACATATAAACTCTTAGTTTTTTTGAACAGGAGTAGAGGTTTATCCCTTGTTTCCTTTTAGGATTGGATTTCTGGTTCCTTCTAAAGTCTTCTCATTCTCTTTCAGTATCCCCTTGCATCTTAGTGGCATTATTACCTTGCTAGAGGTGAACTGATTAAAAAAAAACCCCAAAAAACAAAAAACAAACAAAATCAAAACATACAATATATAACATAAATGACTGTTGATAGAATTGGACATCATTTACAGTATCAGGATTTAAATTTTATACAATGAATTTCAGTAAAAAACTTGTTTATTACACTACGTTTTAAAATATTCTCTCCATATATGTATATATAAAAAATACTGAAATTGATTAAAACATCTCTGATGCTATTTTCATAATAAAATTGGTGTGATTATGTGTTTCTGCATGTCCCTGCACAAGCCGTGATGACAACCAAGGTTGGCTGTATGCAAATACACCAGTACTTGCCATGTTCCACAGATTAGTTTCAATTATGGTTTTGATCAACGTCAACAAAGAACATCAACATGCTTTTCAAGATACTTGTTGGCTCAGGAAAAAAAAAAAAAAAAAAAAAATGATTTCTCACTTAATAGGCAATATTTTCACTTTTGCTTCAAGAAAGCAAATTTCTGATATAGAACTTCTCTCTAAGTTCCAGCCATGGAAATCAGAGTCTGGCCGCTTCACTCACTGTTCACCCCTTCATTGACTACTCATTATATAGATACTGGCTGGGAGGACCCATTACTCCTTTGTCCACTCATGTTCCACCAACTGGAAAGGAGTGACCACCCAGACAGCTATTGGGTGGCCAGTTTTTTCAAAGGACCCTATTTTTACAGCTGCCTAAAATCATTAACAAAATGTTATGTTTGTCAATTCAAAGGTGGGCTGGAGACAAGATTCCTGAGAAACCCTGGTCATTAAATTGACTTAAAAGGAAAAAGAATCAATCTATTTATCACATACGGATGTGTGAGAAATCATATTGCTACATATTTACAAAACTTATTTAGGAGGGAGATTTTATGATGCAACTTGAGGGTTGTTCATAGTCTAAATAAATATGTAATACTATAATTAATATTTTTTTTACAATTTCTGATGTAAAAAGTTTACCATGGCTTATAATAATAATAAAACACCTCAATAAATATGCTACTGAGTGATGGAATATAATTTTAGAAATTGCATAAAAGTTTAACAGATTAAAAACAAGACAAAAATTGAAAACATTGTAAAGACACACACACAAAAATAAAACCCAAAACAAAAGAATGTCACAAAAAGAGAGCTGAGAAAAATCGCAAAGAAAATAAGCAAGAAAAGTGAACTGACCAGCAAGAAAGAAAAAGCTGGTATTGCAAATGTAAACAGAAAAAAATTCAGACCATTAGAAACATTAGCTAAAGGTATGAAAATAACTCAACTAAATTTATGTAAACATCACAAATAGTAACATGTAAATTGGGTGAAGAAGTACATGAAAACTGATTTCTTAGTAATTTTTAATGATAGATGTATAGCTACATAGGATAGACTGGATAGCTGGGCTAGAAGTTGGGCCCTTCATTGAAATAGTCAATCAACATTTAGCAGGGAGGTGGAGCAATGTTTGAGGATTGAATTGTAGGCAGTGAAATTCACTTTTTTTTCAAAGTTGATGATAGCATTAAGATAAATGCAGATAATTATTGTAAGTTCTGGAATAGACGATTTTTTTTGTGTTGTAATAGTCACAACCAAGAATCTTTAAGCTAAAGAATATATTCATGTAAATCAATGCTCCTCTTCATTCTGCAAAGCTGACTATTGACCCCTTGCTAAAAAAAAAAAGAAAATTTTTTTTCGAAAAGCACCACATTAAGGGAATGGTCTGCAGCCTATTCAGACATTAACTCAATATTCATAGATCTCTCTGGGAATAAAAAAAAAAAAAAAAAACTGTTCTAAGTAATGTTAAAGTAAAAAGTGTTGAAATGGTAACAATATCAATGGGCAAAAAATTGAGGAAGTTTATAGAAGGCCAAGGAGACTTCATGTAAAATGGTAAAATAAGGATTTATTCTGATATATAGGATATTTATCTACATGCCCACTCAAGTAGAATATGGCACAAAGCTTAAAGTGGGACAGGAACCCATGCATACATGGACCAGGGACAAAAATTGTGCAAGGCCTTTTGGTTCTTCCCTTTCAGGCACCAGGCAATGACTAGCTTCTTCCCAAAGGATAGTATTGCCTTAGGTGATAGACCCTTAAGTCTTGAGCACATCTTATTAAATGACTTACTATAAGTTCAATACAGATATACAATATGGATATTGTGTTAATCCAATATATGTTTCTGTGGTCTATTTTGGATTTATATATAGGGATATATATTTGTTTACATAATAAAGCCTGTCACTTCTAAAACAATTTTTTTTTTAAATAAAGATAGATATTCTAAACAGAAACTCATATTGTTTATATAAATATATCCTGAATATTTTTACCAACAGGCCTAATATTGCGAAAACATTGACTTGCACAATAAAATTTAATATCTATATATAAATACAGGGTGTGGCAGAAATACTTCCCATATAATGGTAAGACATTAGTGGCAATAGTGTCTTCATTTAGCATCATGTGGGAGGTATTTCTGCTGCACACTGTATTTGACATTTCATCTCCATAGTATAAGAGAAACTGCTTAAGAAATTAAAAATAATTCATTTGCATTTTAATAAGTCCACCATCTAATAAATTTGTAACAAGTTCAACTAAAATCTTATATTATCAATACTCTAAAAGGGCAAATATTAAAGCTGAAGTGCGTAATGACATTTTTAATAAAAAAAGGAAAAGTTGTAAGTAGCAAACAAATATCAAATTAAGAGAAATAAATGTAAAAAGAAAGTAAACGATATTACAGATACTGGCATTAGTTAGCTCCCCTAGCCAGCAATATTTTGGAATATAAATGTTAGAGCAGGAGTCCTTAACCTTTTGCTCCCCTAGTGTCCCTTTCCAGATTATTTACACAGGCTAGCTCTCTCTATATTAATAAACTTGTGGCAGAGTTAAGATAACAGAGTGAATGTTAAATGTTTAAATTTTGTTGCATTATAGCAAACCATATTAAACCATAGCTGGGGGAGAAGATGGTTTAATGAGGATCACTGCAGAATTTAATTGATGTAGAAAAGCAAGAATCATATAATAATTGTGCTTGGCGCTCCCTTCGTTAGTTCGCATGACTGTTACACTCTGAAAATATCTCATAAATAATGGACTATTCCGTTTTCATAGTGTGGGAAAAAGGGAAAAGGCACTACTTGGTTTCAATGAGAAAATGAAAAAAAAAAAAGAAAAGAAAGGGTAGATAGAAGTGGTTAAAGGCTGTTTAAGTGAAATGGAAAAAATTATCCATTTCAAATCTTTTCATTTCTACCCATTTCTTAAAATAACAAACAGCATTCATATTTATGATTGTAATTGCAATATTCCCTTCTTTCTTTCTTTCAGGGGGGATGAGGAAGTTGTTAAAGGTCAAATATTTAATGATGCAGTAGGGGAACTTCTACGGATATTTTATTGTCATAGAACTTGCCATGAGCTAATTCAATCATTAACTTAAGAATTAAGATTCATCAGAAAATTCAAATAGGAAAACTGTAAAAATTTTCATGGGTTTTTCTAGTTAACTATAATTTCCTAAAACAATCTACAAATTAATACCAAGGTATCTATCTACCTTCCTATATAAAGTGTGCACCACACTTTCAAATAAAAAAATATTAAAGCTTAACCCACTAAAAAATAAAATTGAAGGGGGTAAAGGAGACAGCAAGCCTGTTGGTCTTATCTTTAACCTTTTCGCTTTCCTTTTGTGCTGGCTTTCTTACTCTATCTTTCCTCATTCTCTCTCTCTCCTTTACTTTTCCCTAAATCTGATATTGTGTGGAAATGGTGAGATAGACAGCTGATGGGCATATGTGTCAGTGGAACTTTTCACAGAGAGCACAGATCCTTGGCAGAAGTGCCAATCCATATACACATATAATAAAATCACATAATTTTTGAGGAGTATGATGCTAATTGTAATAAAATTGTGCTCAATGTATATTTTAAATTGGTTTTTAAAAGCATAGTTTGTAACAAAAAACAAACATCAACAAAATAAACATCAACAAAACAATTATTACCTTTTGAGATGAAATTTGATCTTATCAGCAGCATTAAGTATTTTCCTTAGATCTGATACTCCATAGGAGTGTGGTCTTTTCAGAACCATACCGTCCGGGAATCCGTCGATATCTATAAACATGGGATCTTTTTCTAATCTGGCATATGGCATGTTTCGGGGCTTGCCACAACATTCAGCTGAAAAGAGAGTTGAACAAAAATTAAGGGGAAAAATACCCACAAAAATCTCTAAGAGATAAAATGAAATATCCTCAAATAAAAAAAAATGTTACTAAGATTTTCAGGTTCCATGATAAAGCATAATTCCATATAACATGATATATTGGTTTTATCTTCAGTGTTTTGTTTTTATGTTCCATCAAATATATTCTTGCAAAAGACCAACATTGCATATCAATTTAAATAACCTTTGGGAGATTGTATCACTGACAAAAAAGTAAATATATATGTTGGTTTCATGACAACATTATCATCATCAAGGAGACTTACATTGCATATGTCAGATATAAACTATCGCACAACATTTAAAGAAACATTCCTGTCCATGTTCACAATTTAGAGAAATATTAATTGACAATACAAGTATACTCCACCATAAAAATAATTAAAAAAAAAAAACTTAAATTCATGAGGCCTTCTATATAACAAAAATACAACCAACACTAAATAAGGTTAGTTATGAGTATAGCAACAAAGTTTTAAAATGTCTATAATAGCAATGCTTTTAAAATACTTAAATTGTAATTATAAAAATCACAATTATATAAATTAAAAGTTACTTCCCTTAGATAAAAAAGATGGAAAACAAAGTCATAGCTTTAACAGTTAATTTTTAAATTAATTATAACAGATCATATTCATATGTGTTTAAAATAATTATAACAGAGTTTGTTTTATGTGCATTTACAAAAAAATTCACAACTATCAATTACATTAATTTTTTTGTCTTAGCAATTTCCCCCTGAAGATGATCTTGGATGAGATTAAAAATACCTGAGGAAATGAAAAACTACAACATCTTCTTTAATGAATTTAATATCAACATTAAGAAGTCCATTAGAGAATTAGAGAGGATTAAAATAAAAATAGGCATACTGTCCAGATCATTCAACCAAACCTGCTTGAAAGAAGATAAAGATATATATATATATATGCTAATAAATCAAAGTGATTCATTTAATCACTAATATTTTTCTTTTCATTTTTACAACTTGCCAACCAATTTGTAGGTTATTTAAAGCAAAAAAAAAAAAAAAAAAAAAAAGCCCCTTGCCCCTGAATAATTTCTAAAGATAAATGTCCTACTAAATAGTTAGTGGATGAGGTGGATTCATACCTTTCCCAACAGTATTTGCATGTAAATGAATGTAATGAACCCAAATGAAATTTGAACTTGGTTCTCCAACTTCTCATTAACCCCTAACAATTAGATTAATTTCTGTAAAGCTTGAAGCAGGCAAGATTTTGAAATTTTATTTTGTTTATTAGAAGTTAATTTATGCAAAAGCTATTTTAAGTAGAATTTAACAAATCATAAAATCATATTTGTAATGTCTTTTTTTCCCAGAATTATTTGTATTCTTCTATTCTATATTTAATTTGTCACAATAAGAAATGTAAATCAAATATAAGCCAATTTCAAAACAATTTAGCCTGGGTAAAGCTTTGTGGTAACCTCATATTTAAACTATTTACATTGTTTGGACGTTTGTCCTTATCTTGGTTATCATATTTTTGATGTTTCGAATGTTGTATGCTCCAACATTTTTCAACATGGCCAAGCGGATAAAAGTGTTGGTTGAAGTAATCCAGTGATTCGACCCAAAGAATTGCAAGTTCATTCAATACCTGGTCACAGCAGAGGTGAACACAAACTTGGAGAGTTGAGTTACATAGTGGCAATAACCGAGATATCCGGAAGAAGCATGGCACGTGGAATTAGGACAATCTACCCTCGTGGAAGGAAAAAAGGGTTTGGTTTGAAATTCCAATCACCTGATGAGGGCCAGGGCATACAACTGAAACATTGTGAATATGACAACCAAGAAGAAGACAACAGTCTGAACAATGTAAATAGTGTAAATAGTTACAATACCTTGTCTCAGAAATATAGTCAAAACTTATTTATAATGTTGAAAATCATATGATTAATAATCAAAATTTTTATTTAAAAGTTGAGATATTTTTCTTTTCAGTTTTAAAGAATGTTAAATGTATAAACATTAAAACACAAAAATGTTAATTCTTCTTCAATATTCAAGAAATCAGATTAATTCTAAACAGAATAGAGAAAGAATTTGAAAAGCCTGTTAAAACAACAAAGACAAATTCTCATGAATTAAACTGAAATATACTTACAAAATTTATCGTTAAATAATGTTTTCACTTCATCTGATAATTTTTTCCGGTTATTTTTATGTTGTTCTTTGCCCTTTGCTGAAAAAAAAAACAAAACAAAAAACAAAAGAAACATGAACATTTTAAACTAACCAAAAACGAAAAGAAGTTTCAAATTTTCTCCAATGAAATATGTTCAGGTACATATTTTTATTTTTGATAATTGATATATGAAGTAAAGGCTGAAAAGCTGTTATCATGACCAACGTTCTTAATCTTTATCACTTTGTATGACTTCATTTGTTGTACAAAAAGTTTATCCTGTCACTGAAGGTGACTCTGATCCCTGAACAATAGTGTGTTTGAATTTCATAGATGTGTTGTCGTATCCTGCTATGGCAACAGAAAACCACTTTGAGTGAAATTAACAATAAGGATACTGCAATTGAGAGGCCTTGAAAAAGAATGCAGAAGAAAGGGAAGTAATATTAATAATGCAGGGTGTTAAAGGTTTAAAAAAAAAAAAAAAAAATCTTGCTTGGTCAAATTTTGGGAAGTTGTTTGGATTGAAAAAAATCTTTGCAGAGCTTTTTTTTTTCCTTATTGAAAGGAGGTTCAATAATAGTCATAGGTTTGTAAAAATATACAACAGATTTCTGTCATTGTGGTTGCAAGTTCTCACTTTATTCAGACAGAGTCAAACAATTTCAGGGATATAATTTTTTTTTTTTTAAATTTCAAATTATCTGATTGCTCATTTTTTTTAAAATATTGGTTGCTTGGTTTCTTTATATGTATTTTCATAGTCAATGACAAATAAACTTTACACAGACTCAAATGATGTAACTATATTATTTATATGCTTTGCCTTCATTTGACCATGTAACACAAACTTGTTCCTTTGAACACACTGATATAACACTCTGTGGTCAAGCTACACTACCCAAAATCGCTAACATTGGGTAGTTGGATTCATGCTTTTTTCAAGGATATTAGCAAGAAACTGAAATCAACAGCTACTGATCTATGTGCCAATCCCATTTTAAACAATTCATAAGCTTTACAAGCACACTCACCCAAATATCCAAGAAACCTGTTTTGTAGCTGTTTCTCTTTTTTTAGGAAATTGGTGCCATGTTTGCTACCAAGAGTAAACACAACAGGTTTATTGACAGCCAGACATGCAGTTTCCACACCAAGTGATGACAGAGATGAACACTGCAAAAAACATTAGATAATATTAGAAAAAAAAAATATTTCTGAGATTCTTTCAATCAACATTTAACAATTTTTGGCATTATTATTTTGATGTTTTTTGTGACATTAAAAAAAAAAAGAGGTATTGTCAAAGGTTGTGAAAATTAAAACTATTTCAACTTGTAAATTATGGAATACATTTACATAAGCTGTATTCCTCAGCTTTGCCATCTCAGAAAGGGTAAAAAAAAAAAAAAAAAAAAAAAGAAAGAAAAAGAGAAGTTTCTTCTGAGTTATTTACAGTCAGGCTAAGGTCTTCATCGTTGTTATTCTCACAATGTTTCAGCCATTGTGCCCTATGGCCTTCTTCTGGTAACTGTCAATCTGGGTAACCATAGGGAATTTCAAACTGAACCCTTTATTTAATCTCTTGGCATAAATTATTCTCATTTCACTGTCCATTTCTAGGGATATCTCATTTTTAACTTTTTCTTTAGTACTTGTTTTCACTGATCCCTAGTCTGTACTACTCAGTCCAGAGATTGAACTAACAATTACCATGGTATGAGAGGATTAAAGCATTGTTGTGTGTATTTAGTGGTAACTGTGAATCCCTGGACAAAGTAATACAGCCTCAGGTATAGTGGAAATAGGAGCAGCAATAATTGAGTAATACTAAATGACAATTAAGGTGAGACATGGACAGGAGAATGAGAACAATTTACTACCAAGATAAAATAATGGGTTCAGTTTCAAATTTCCTCAAGGTTACTTGCACCAACTGATACCTGAAGAAGTTCTGATGGCACAACAGCCAAAATGTTGTGATAACAAAGATGAAGACATTAGTGTGACTGAAAATTATTTAAGCTTCTCATCCAAGAAATCCAAACAGACATTTCTTCCTTGCATTCCTTTGAACTCACATCTGCAAAATTGAAAGCAAAAAGTACAATCTGCAGTAAAACATGCTCATCAAAATCCACAAGGTTTATGTACAGCACTTTTCTATAAAACATTTATAGATAAAAAAAAAAAAAATTAATCACAGACAACTCAATATATATTATATATTATATATTATATTTACAAAATCAAACCGCTGTAAAAATACGGTTTCAAATGGTGAGACAATCCATATGAAATTTTACATTATTATACTTTTGTAATAAGAGAAAAGTTAAAATGTGGCAGACGTGATGAGACAGAACCTGGGATGAGCACAACTGGTTGCGACTTGCCTTGTCCTCGCCAAAAAAGAGCCCGTATTTGCTTAGCATGTAAAGCTACTGCAGTTGAAATGAGGGAGAAAAAAAGCACTTACCGCTCTGCCGTAATCTGTCCTTGGCCAGACAACGTAAAAGAATGAGGGTGGAGGACTTGCATTGCATTTTTATGCAATAAAGATGCAATGCATTATGGGACAGGAACTCAATGAATTATGGGATCGCATGAAGACGCAAGGGATTATGGGTATATGGACAAATATAAAAGCAACTAATATTTCCCAGTGCGGGGGTTCTTTGAGTGATGTTCACGGTTGGTGGCTAGAAAAGTCTGTTAGTGCAATTTTGTGACAGAACTCAAGAAGGAACGACTCGAGGTTGGAATACCAGCTGGTAGAGCTTGAATTTACTTGCTAGTTGCTGTTTCTTTTTATTCGCCACAGCACCATCATGCAAGATTGACTCCACCGTTTTCTGGTTACTTGGTTTTTACACTATGTACTATTTTGTTTAATTCTTTATGAAAATTAACAAAGGATTTGCCACAAGACATAATCCCAATAGATTTTTTAAACAGAAATGTGTTTTTACTTTTCAAAAGCTTGATAGAAATTTTCTTTGCATTTTGTTGGACTTAAAAAGAGCTGTTGTATCTAAAATAACTTTTGTAACCAATTTTTTGACAACTATCACTGTCATTTTATTTTCATTTGCTTCCAAAAACCATCATTCTATGGCTGTTAGTAATACGGATCAGAAATAAAGATTAAGTATCCAGCAAAAGTCAAACTAGCATCACCCCTACCCACCAACCATTTTTGTTTAAAGGAACCCAAAAAATGCAATAGCTGTATTACCATCTTGGTCAAGAAGCTAACAAACTGCAGTCATTCAAATCTAACCATATGGCTATTCCTCAGAGGGATGAGTTCGAGTCTTGCTCAAGATATTTTTTTTCTCTTATCCGCATCATTTACTGAGCATTGTAATAAAAAGTAACTGAAATTACAATGAAAGAAATACTAGTCAAAAATTTTAAAAATAACAATACCTCATAATATATATATATAGTTATATATATATAAAAAGGATTACTATTTATTCTAAAACTAATTTTTTTTCCAAGTTTAATCTTGTCAGTAGTTTCATTAAATTGCTTCAAATTATTATGTGAATTTAATTTAATTTTAATGATTTATCTTTAATTACGAGCTGCAAATTCACAACTTCTCCTTCCATTGCAAGAAAGACGTTTTCTAAGTGAAGTAACTATGCAACACTCACCGTGTGACTAAGCTTGCCCAGAAGCCCCACTATCTGTTCACGCTTACTCAGGTTTTCATCAACATCGCTCTTGGTTGAGGTTTTCTTCTTTTCTTTGGACTTGTTCTCTTTTTTGCTCACTTTGCTACTAATCTCAGAGCTTTCAATCAGGGAATTCAATTGAGTCTCCACTAAACAAAAAGAAAAAAGTGAAAACAAATCAGAAATGGAAGTCTAAAACCAGTTAAAGTGAACTATCACGGCACATTAAAAGCATATTTAGCTGTTTGTAGAAAGTTTTTTTCTTTTTAACCAACAACCTGAATTATGGAGGTGGAAGTCGGTGCAGTTTCAGAATCACTATCAATAAAATTTCCAACTGGTTTTAGACTGATTGAAGGTTAATTTTCATCAATGGTTTAAGTCTTTTATCACCCAAGTAACTGATTTTATAATGGGTGCTAAAAAGTTCTGACTGATTCACTTTTGAAAAAAAAAAAAAAAAAATTTCAAATGTTTGGTCACTGAAATACTGATTCAGGAAACAGGGTTGGGGTGAGAACTTTTCAGCACCCTCTTGTAATATAGACTTGTGCTTTGCTTTTGAATTGCTCTAAGCAACAAGTCATCTACTGTATTTTTATGCTTGTAAGATGCATTTTGCTTATAAAATATCTACAAAAATCTTAGTGCCCTACAAGTTGATGGTCGGTAACTGGAGTCAACTTCTCTTCTAATTATTACATTCTAGTTACTATAAATTTGGTACTTCTTGGTCTGTGCTGAATTTATCATGATTAGTCAGGTTTCTTTTGTTTAAATATTCTATTCAGAGAGTAAAATTGGGGATAGTTGGGAGGGCTATGATGTACAATAAAAACGTCCCCCCACCATGTATTCCTTAAAAATTTTGGGGGCATCTTATAAGCCATGAAATACAGTAATAATAAAACATGAAATTCTAAAGAAAATGTTAATTATAAAGGTACAAGTAAGTGTACACACATATGTATATGTCTTTCAGGGAGTAGAGTTCTCATTACTTACAGGGTGCGATGGGTAAATTGTCGCCATTTTATATTTTTAATTTTGTGTGTGTGTGTGTGTGTGTGTGTGTGTGTGTGTGTTTTTGTCGACTGCACAGTATAGAAGGATCAGTTGGGCACCATCTGTGAGAAAAAGAGCACCATGACGCATTTCACTCTGCCACAAATTTTGGAAAAAGCATGCTGTACTGCATGGCATTCATGCAAGAAGATCCAATATGAACATTTCAGAGTGTTTGGGCGTCAATCTGAGGTCACTGCAGAGGATTTGGAAAGAGTTGGATGAGTCTAATGGTGATTACAAAGATGTTTGGAGTGATCACTAGTGATGGTGATGTTATGTCTCCATTCATCTTCCCACAGGTCTTCAGACTCAACACAGAGACCTACATCAAGTGCCTTGAGGAGGTAGTGATGACCTGGGTTAAGAGGGTGGCTACTGGAAGACCTTATGTCTGGCAACAGGACTCTGTATCATGCTATACAAGCAGGAGAACCCAATCATGGCAGTCAGACAATTACTGTGATCATATCACCCCTTACATATGGCCACCTAAATCCTCAGACTGCAACCCCCTTGATAATTATGTGAGAGGGGCAAGTTGAGTGAGAGACAAACTCCTTGTAACATCAAAGATAAACTGAAGGTAAGGATTATGGCAACATTCACCAACTTAAACAAGGAAACCCTGCAGAAAAGATGCAGGAGATTCCAAAGTTGTCTGGAAGCTGTGTTTCATGCCAATAGCGATTTTATTCAATAAATTTACTTTAGTATTTCAAGATATTTTCTGTAATTTTGGTAAATATATCTGTTAAAATGAGATGTCAGTGTTATTTTCATTTTTGTGTAATTTAGACGACAATTTATACATCGCACCCTATACATACTCTCTTCTCTACTGAAGAGCTTTTGCCATAAGTAATAAGTTTTATATTGTAAAACTGCTTCATGACCGAAATGTTTTATGATGCTAATGTATAGAAATTTAACAAATAGTTGCAAGCAAGACTGATAGAAAATAATGAACTGATAATGTTTTAAATGATCTGATATGACACAATAATAATCACATGTCAACTCATTCTTAATGTCTTTGTGATATACTGTGGCTAGATGAATGGCTGGAAAGTGGGTTGGTTATTCTACAAGTAGAAGCCTGGATTTTCATAATTCTCTGCAAAATCCATTAAGATAATGCAGACATGACATTCCAGGTTCTCCTTAGCTGGTTTTAAATCAGCTGATTGTGACTCATTTATTTACTGATGGTGGCAAACATCAAAATAGATCTTTTCAATAAATACATCAATGAATTCATGTGTTGTATACTGAAAACTAAAGCCATACAATCTGTTGCTATCTTATTGTTTATAAATTATTGTATTTTCAATATCAAAATCATTTTCTTAAAATATATTCAATAGAGTTTCTGAAGTTGAGTTTTTGTTGAACAGTTTGCTTACAGCTGAAATAGGCAGTGTGATTGTTGATATCTCAGAGACAGCTCCATTAATGGTTTATAAGAGGATGGAATTTGAGAGAGAGAGAGAGAGAGAGAGAGAGAGCTGAACACATCAGTTTTGCATTTTGATCATATAAGCACAATCAAAATGAGTGGCTACTATGATGTACCATCTTGATTGTAATTCACAAAATTTTCTAAAACTAATTATAATATGCTATTTTTTTAATTATAATAATGCTATTTTTATCCCCAGTTAGGTTAAGCCTTTAGCATTCTACATACTCAAAATCACCCCATAAATATTGGCTCTAAGTATCACTGTTTGTGCAAATTCCTGCATTATTTGCGATGATGTCGTCATATATTATGGCAGAGTATACATGGAGCGGGTTATAGTGTGTTGAACATTGAGAGTTGTTATTTCTGGGGTAGGTTTAGACAAGTTGAGTGCTAAAGAGGTTAAGATGAACTTTTGCCCTTTGATATAGCTATAAAAACAATCCTTTTTTGGTAAACTAATCTGATTCATACATATGTATTGATTTTTTTTTCAACATTATCGGTAATTGGCATTCCCTGTATATTTTTGAGTTCAGCAAGAATCCTGCTGTTACCTCATTTTTTTTCTTCTAGCTTTCTTCCCCAGGTGGTCTGAAAGTGAAAACACTTCATATATTTTTACAATGGTTCAACTGTTAGTAGCTAATGTCAGTAATTTGACCTTTTGTTATGGAAAACTTGTCACCATCTTTCATTGCATCAACAATGTTTATACACATTTTACAATGACAATTATCATCAGATACTAAGTCCTATTATTTCAAATCACAATCAACTAAACCAGTAAGTATTTCTCTTTCTCATCTTTGCCCTTTCCTTTCTATATCAGACTCTCTTTGCCACTTTTAAGTGGGAAGACACTCAGTAAACTATTATGATTGTTACGTCAGTTATCAACACTGGAGTATTCATCATCCATATTAGTATTGTTTTTTGGACTATTTTTCTTTTGATGTTTTATTCAACAATTTGTGTATAACTTTTGTACTGGTTTCATGTTTACTTACAACTTTCTGAAGGCAACTCTTGTAATATTTTTTCTTGAGACTTGAATGAAAAACAAAACAAAATTTCATAAAGACTTGTAGTATGAAAAGTAATTTTTTTATGAATCATAACAACCTATCATCATCTTTGAAGACATAAGATGTGTTTAAAGCCTTTTGAAGTAAAATTACTTATGTTATTTCTCAGCTATGTGTTTGTTTTGTGTTGTTTGCTTCTTGAAAATATGTCTTCAATATGGCATTCTGGTCTGTTGGTTTTTTGTTGACTTCCCCGAGAATCTGTATATATGAGAAATACAGGAAGCAGTTGGGTGAAAGGGTTGAGAGTGAACTTTCTAGAACAATTGTTTAGTTAACACCTAACAACTTACATCAAAGTGTCCAGTATTTCTACATCGAGTAATTTTATCGCATTGTTCCTCCAGAAATATTCCAATACATCATTGACAATTATCATCCTTATTTTGAGGTTGTCAAGAATTCTACTGGAGAGTGTTAACCCAAAGGTTCACACATCATTTGTCAACATTATGATGATTCAGAACAGTTTCTGACTTATGAGAGTGTCCAGTAATATCTTTGTTGTCTTGAAAACAATTTGTAAATTTATTACCCTTTTCCTAATTTATGTTGGAAATTTTGAGATTAGGAATTATCATTTACTATTCAGACCAGCATGCTCACCTTGCTTGTTATACTCACAGACATTGTACACTCAGGCCTTCTCCATATCTGGTAATCTTCGAAAGAAGGCTTGAAAGCAAAACTACTGAAATGTTGTGAGCATAACAACTAAGATGAGCATGCTGGTCCCAATAGCAAAGCATATATCATTTGCCAACACCTATTCATTAATTGCTATACTGGCTACTCATGAACCATGCTAAAATCTCCTTTTAATAGAAAACTAATACCTTAAGGGTAAATAATTAAACAAGGTTGCAAAAAGTACTTGATATTTAAACTAATAGAAGTTTTCATTAAGTACTTGTGTGCCCCTTTAAATAATTTCAATGTTTTATTGATATTCTATTTTATTTCTTAGCAAGAAGCAGAAACTGTCTATTTTAGTTCATTTTGACTTGATTTCAGTAATAGAAGAGGTACATCAGATCCAATAATACATTGACAACCATTTATAAATGGGAACTTGTATTAAATCCAATGTAACATGGTTTTCAAGAATTATAATGCTTTAATCTATACTGACAAACAATCACAATACTAAAATAGATAAATAAAAATAATTCTTTGAAATGTAGTCTTTCTGAGACACTTTGGTCAACTTACATTTGAATAAGCATTTAAAAAAATTTTCAGGCATAAAAGAGAATGAACTGTAATTCAGAAAAATTCAAAACATTTTTTTCAATTGTCTGCATTTCTTTTCATGCTTTCAAAGAGTATTAAAACTGAATTTTTTTTTTACTGTAATTGTCTTATGTTTTGATCAAAAGAAAAGTGTTTCCTATTTTTAAAGTGCATGATTCAACATTTTATACACAGCAATATATAAAGTGAAAATATTCAAGCACATTTTTTATTTAAACACCCTAGTTTCTACGGGAGGCTAAAAATTAAGTCATTTTGAAAAACCCAAACTACTTAGAATAGAGGTAACATGAAGCTAGAAATAAGGTTATTTGGGTGTAAAGCTACATGGATAAAATAGTTTCAGCTTAATATCTGAAATACCAAAGTTATGAAATGCTAAATTTTGCAAAATTATGCTTGTAGCCTAGGATGTAAGTAAATTTCAATTTGCCATAACTTCCAAATCAAGCCAAAATTTTTCAGATTGATTTGTCATTAGAAAAACTGTCAACAATTGAAATTTCATTGAAATCTAGTAGTGAACATTGGAACACAAATAACATTAGTTGATCTGACCCATTTAAAAAAATGCTAATTTTAGTAGTAAATGCTATTGGGTACATAGAAAATGCTAAATGGCCATACAAAGAGAAATGTGCCATTTTTATAATCAAAATAATGTTAGGCATTCCATATACAAACAAAATTTTCTTTTTTACTAATTTTCTTTTTAATGATAAATATAGTTAATATAAAAATTTCACGAGTTTACCTTTCAGTGCTTTCTGACTAGACACTGACAGCCTGCGTTTTTTGGCTACTGGTTCATTAACCACAACACCATTTGCTTTGCCATAGTCTTTTATCCATCGCTGCAAAATTACATCAAATGATTGTCATTATTTAAAGCTAGAACAAAAAACAATATACATTTTATTTAAATAAAGGTAAAATAAATAAATGGTAGATATAAAATATTGCTATTAGTTTGTGACAAAAAAAAAAAAAAAAAAAAAAAATGATTAAGCTGTCAACCAGGCTGGAAGTTCAAGGCTTTAATATGTGATTTTTAAAAACTATTTGAAGAATTATTTCAACCAGTATCATCATTATTGTAGTCTTTTTCTTTAAATCATTTCATCCCAAGCAAGATTATAAAGCTACTAAGATAAGGAGTTACTGAGTATGAAAGAATCTGAGATCCAAAACATTATTAAGGACAATAAAAGAACAAGAATTAAGCAGACAGAAAATGACAATTGACATTGCATTTTTGAAAATCAAAGTTGACAAAGTTGGAAAGCAAGAAGGTGGAAGAACGTTCCACAAGTGAAAAGTGTATGGGAAGAAACTGTGATTTAGAATTTATGGTTATATCTTGCAATTTCAACTGTAAAATGATATGACCTGTTTGCCAATCTAGTACTGTGCTTAAATTCATAAAGTAGAAGTACCAAAGAAGAAAGCTCATCAGATCAATTACCATGAAAATATTTATAGAAAAGACACAGGGAAGCCACCTTACAGTGGTGGGAAAGTGATAGAAGCTGAAATGCCACATATCAATAACATTGTAGATTCTTCTTTAGATTTTGTTAAGAATCTCTAAATTCATAGCAGAAGCACCAGACCAGATGTGGCAGCAATATTCAATGGTAAACTTATAGATGTGTAAGAGAGATTCTGCTTAAAAAAAAAAAAATTGTCTAGCACAACTATTGAGTTGTGCTAGACAATTTTTTTTTCTCATTAGAACCAACTTTTCTAGTGGTAGACTGAGCAATTGATTGAATATAATCATTCCACTTCATGTGAGTGGAAAATGTTAGCCAAAGAAGCCACAATGAATCATTCTCCAGGAAGTTAGCATCAGCCATGCTGATGAAGGGCAAAAAATATTCTCTAAGATGATTGAGAGTGAGCAGTTTTGTTTTAGATGTGTCAAAATTAACAAGTTATTTTCTTGCTACAGTTAACAACAAACTGAAATTTAGTTTTTAAGATCAGTTGCTAATTTGATCTTATCAAACTTATCAGACTTACCAATAAAACAGGAATAAATAGTGTTGTCCTCAGCATAGATAAAGCCCTGGGGACACTTGCATTAATGCAAAACTATAAAGAACAGTGGCTGTTCAAGAAGTCTTTCATTTCACAATTAGATAAGAAAGATTGAACCAAATGATAAATTTGTCCAGGAATACCATAACTTTTCAACTTGTGAATAAGACCAGCAAACCAAACCTTTTCAAATGTGTGAGATATCTAAAGCAACAGCCAGAGCTTCACCATGCTTATCTAAAGCTTGAAGTTTGGTAAGATCAAAAAGCTAAAAAGACTATTTTTAAATAAAAAGCAAATAAAGGCAAAAATACATCTGACTAAACTATGTGTGCATGTATAAATCACACACACAGTAAGAAAAATTCATTATAAATTTAACAGGTTTCATTATTTGGCTTCATCAGAAATTTTTGTGAGTGAAATAATGTGAACTTTCAATTTTTAAATTGTTTTGTTTTCATTGGTTGTGTAGGCATCACGTATATTTTATGGCTTTGTATTCCTATCTAGTAGTTCACTGCCCAGTCTTTAGAACGGGAGTAGAGGTTTATCCCTTGTTTTCTGTTTAGGATTGGGATTCTGGTTCCTTCTAAATTCTACTTCAACTCTATGCTTCTAATATCTCTGCCAAAAAAACTATACAATCACAGGTTAAGTATCCTTTATCTGAAATTCCCAAATCCAAGAACCTCCAAAATACAAAAGTTGACATGACTTTACACAAATGGAAAATTTCAGAATGCCCAGCTACATAGCTTACATTGGTGCCAGAATTTTTTTTAGCAATCCTCACAGCAACACCTTTGTTTGTGGATTACTTAACAGGTGTTTTTGTGCTCAGTAAAGATATTATTCAAAATGTCAAAAAGTCCTACATTTATATATATATTTTTTGTAAACATACAGAAAGTACAAAACATTATTTTCATGTGAAATCTTGATTTCAACACTTAAAAAAATCTGTGTGACTAGCAGCATTACCTGTATATACACAAAATTTATTAAATTTTATATAAAACTACCTTCAGGGTATGTGTGTAAGGTGTGTTATAAAATGTAAAGGGACATCATGTTTGTGCTTGGGTTCCATTCCCAAGCTGTCCCATTTTACAGATGTTATATAAAATTAAATAGTCTGTATTCCAAAATCTGAAAAAAATCTGAAAACTGAAGCATTTCTGGTTTCCAATAATTTCAGATAAAGGATTCTCAACCTGTATTGGATTTCCGGATCCTTCTAAATTTTTTTTCCTTCTCTTTTTTTTCAATTGCCCCTTGTGTCTTAATGGCATTATCACCATGCTGGGAGTGAAAGGATTTAGAAAAAAGAAAAAATTAATTCTTGAAATATTAACATAATTTAAGTGTGTAATATGCAGACAATTAATGAAAACAAAATAAAGCTAAAAATTAAAAAGTGATACATATAAACATCATGAGATATCTACATGACATCTTCATAACCAATGAAAATGAAAGAGAATTTTAAAATGAACTGAAGACCATATGAAACACTGTAGCCAAAATGAACATTTTTTAATCAGCAGTTAAAACTAACATGCTCTGTATGAGCATTTTATGCCAAATTATAATCTGGCTTCAAAACTATCTTTGTTTCTGACACAGAAACATTCTATAGCAAGCTGTACCCAGGGATAACACTGAACATGTATGTTGCATTTGCCTATTTATTGCCAAAATAAATGTATGTCTAGGAAACCATTTGAGAGCTCATGAAAGAGTCAAGCAACAGTTAATTTAAGAAAGTGGTCATACTTGAAATTGAGTAGACAGACATCAGTTATTTTGACCATATTCCACTGATTAGTAAATAATGAAAACAATGTGTGAAATGTAAAGAATCAATAAAAAAAATTGCAAACCTTTAAATCATTCTCAGGCTGAAAAACTTACAGTAGATTCCTTTGATAATTCTTTTGGTGGGCGTGTATGACTGTTATTACTTACTTTTACTCTAGCAGGTGAAATTCCAATGCACTCAGCAGTCTCTTCAATCATCTTGTAACATTCACGAGTGACGGACACCATTCCTTCTTTCCATTGAGACTCCAGAAAGGCAAGCTGAGTTTCATTGAACTCTGAACACCTACGCACAGGTCTCCGTTCATTGAATTCTTGCTGAAATTAAAGCAAACAGAAATACAAAATGAGATTTTGGATATACTGATTTGCATACAAGATACAAGAGAACCAAATAATATTTTATCTGAGGGACAAATGCACAGTAAGATTAGCCTTTTGCTACAAAGATGTACACTAACTGATTATAAGAAATTATTCAAGATTAACTTTAGTGAAAAAGAACCATTAGTCTAAGCTTACAAATGAAATTTTGTTTCAACAGTTTTGGCATACATGTCACCAATTTGATATTTGGAATAAAATCTAAACCTTATGACAACATATAGCATAATGAAGAAAAGGCCATATAAAAATATGACATCAGGCAACTTGTTTATAAATTGTTCTTAAATAGATAAAACATTAAAAATATTTTGGTATATAATAAATTATACTACCTCTGCCAAAAAATATATGGTTACATTTGTATACAAATTTTATAAATTAAATGTAACAGATATTGTGGGAAAGAAGTGGTAGTAAAATCCAAAATTGAAAGTATCAATCCATGAAAAAATATCCCAGCTTCTTTAAATTCATTCTCTATTTTTAACCTGTTGAAAATGTTTTAGAAATCAGTCATCACTTAATTATTGCCAAACTTCTTTCAATAGATACCAATACATATACATGCAAATTGTGTGTGTGTGAGAGAGAGAGAGAGGATTACAATAGATCAGTTAATCATGCCAATTAGTATTATTTCAGAAACGAAAAATATTCACATTGAAAAAAATTGTGTTAGAATTTGCATGGCTTTGATTTAAAACATCAAAGCCCTACTAATGCTAAAGACATGCTAACCCAATTTAACCTAAAGGACAATTAATTTGCTCTTGCTGAAACTATTAAACTATCAAGGTAAACTGGAACTTATTTGAGTAAAGAAATTAAATTTCAAAAGCAAACAGCATTGGCATTTTCAATTAGTTTAAGAAAAACGTAAATAAAAATAAAGTTTTTGTAGCAGTAAGCCAGTCATAGCTGCAATTAACAGAACAACAATAACAAAATAAAACCTATCAGAAATGCATAAAATGTATAGAATATTATCTTTTCTTCACCCAGTCATTAAAATAATTATTGAAACAGTGGCAAAAAGAGCAAATTTGCATTTATCGTTGTAGCTTTAAAAAATCTCAAAACGAGTGCACGTGTATCTGTCAGATTTGGTGTATATGGCTGCACGAATATGAAGCGATTTATTTAGCATTGGCAGAGGTTCATGCTTTACCAAATCCCCTGTTGTCAGAAAAGATTCTAATCTCTGAAATTTGTTAGAAAGAAGCCTTAATGAAACTAGAAAAGATATTGAGTGCATGCAAGTGTTTGCTACCAATTCCAAACTAGGAGATAAGCTAAATTAATTAAACAAATATCAATGCAGACTGCAAGCAGCAAGATAAGTGCAATGAGATGGCTCAAGCCAAACCAATGCTTATTCCATTCTTGCAGAGTCATGTTAATAAATCTATCAGCACTATGATAGAAATATCTGTTGAGTAATATATATTTTAAGGATTGCTATTTATTAAACAATTATGCTATCATATTTTGTTTAGATGGAGTCAGTATGCATGACACATGTTTAAATAACATTCTTTTCATAATAAACATTGTTACCTCAACTGAATTTGTGAAACAATGTTAAACATGGAATCTATTTTAATCCTACAGAATCAATAAATATTGCTAGTAATTTCTAAAACGAAAAAGGAATACACTTGTGCAAAATGCTGCTTTCAAATATTTCACATGCAATAGGTGTTTTAGTAAGATATTTAAAAATTCAAAGATTGCTGAAATAGGCAGCAACTAATTCATTTTGTTATACTTTCAGGATTCACATTTTGTTGAAACACTCAACATCCAGAATATTATCTTTGTAATGAACATTCTTCAAAATATGAAAATAATGAATAAAATGAAGTTTGTCTGCTTGATCCAAATATCTAAGTAAACATATACATTCATTATTATATTGTATTTATTGCATAAATAACAGAAATGCTATTACTTCAAGTAAGTATATTTATGAAATCAAACATTTAAGGAAATGAATTAATTATAAAAGGACCTTACTATTTACATTATTTATATTCAGACTAATGTCCTTGTCATTATCTCCTCATTTTAGCTGTCCATACTACCCAGCCCAAGGTTTGAACTCACAATTACTATGTCAACAAATTCATGCACCAATCCAATTTAGACAGAAATAAAGAGACCTTCGTATATTTTTTCTATATCAGTAAATTATTTATTCATCAGAAACTCATTTTCTGTTTAATGTGTGATCTAAGAACCAAATTCTGCCTCGTGTACTAATTGATTTTATATTCTCAAAATCTACCTATATAAAAGCTAGTGCCCATTGTCTAGTTCACAAAACATATGGCAGGTGTCTTATTTGTCAATTCAATTCCAAGGTCAAGTGTGTACAGAGTCAATTTTCCTTACCCACATGATAAAAGTATACTTATTTTCATGAACATCACATGGAATAGCTGAATGATGATCAAAACTAAATCAGATTTTACCCAACATTAAAACTGTCACTCCAGTGATTAATATAATTCAATTTACTAATATTGCTTATGTGCACTTTAAATCAAATGTTATGTTGTAGTTTACCACAAGTGCACTTACAACAAAAACTATACTCTCAAATATGGTAAAGTCCATTATACAACCTGTGTTCCACAGTAAGTGACCAATTCTACTCTTTATATGATGTAAATCTGGTTACTTATTGTGAAACAGATGTAGTACATATTATTGGACATTTTAAGCATGGAATTTGAGTATCTCTAATGATGAAAGTTTAATTTATAGAAATACAAAAAGAAACAGGAAAAAAAAAATAACAAGATAGTATCATTCACATTATTGAACATGTTTGCTCAAAAAAGATCAGCATATTGTTTGATGTGATTTTGAAACTTTGCCATTATTTCCAATGGGAATTTGCCAATCTATTCCTATAGAAGATGGGTTAGGGAGAAATTTGTAAATACCTGTGTTGGGAAACAATTGGTGGAAAATTTCCAGATGGCCCATAAAAGATTACATTACTGTTTACCACCTTGTTTAAATAGATCTAACAAAGCTACTTACCAAAAATAAATATAGAGTGAAAACTTTTTTTTTTATCTGTCATGTTAGACATTTTATGAACTATATTAAAAAAACAAATACAAGTGATAAAAATGTGTATTAGGATTCATTATTCTTTGTTTAAATTTTAAACAAAGAAATTACAGATGATCCTCTTCAAGATTACAACAACTTTTTTCAGATACCTTACAGATTAATCCAAAGTTATTACCTGAAAGGATGAATATTCATTTTAGATGTTTTATTCTGATCACCTATAAACATAATGAAATTAGAATCTAATTTTCTGAATCCTGTCTACAGGGATTATATAGTATCAATCATGACTTGCTTTCTTTGTTTAATGTGATTTTTGAAAAGGAGCGAAAACTAAAAGAAACTGATAGCATCAGCCTGGGATAATTGCAGATCAAATCTTGATAATTCATAGTCCTTAAGGAATTTATTAAAAACAAAATTAGAGATGTTAAAGAGAGCAATAAATTTATGGCAATCAAATGAATTTTGTCATAACAACTTAATGTTAAAGGGAAATAGAGAGCATAAAAATAGCTGATTCCCTCCACTTACTGGTTAAGTAGTTTATATTGAATTTTCAAATCAGATTATAAAGGTCTGAATTAGTTTTCTTAATAGGTAAGCAAGGACGTCAAGGCATTACTGTATTTAGTCCCCTTCTCTATGGTTGATCTCCCATTGATTTGTAAATGGGACTAGCATTTAGTCTAGACTGACCTGTCAACAAACAAGGTTGCTTGTGACACATGCTTTATAACTGCAGACAATGTGGCTGCTGCTGCTATTTCATCTACCACTACCACCATTTCATCACTTAAATCCTCAAAAAGGAAAGACTGGGCCTTTCAACCACGTGTGTGTGTGTGTGTGTGTGTGTGTGTGTATTTCTGAACAAAGTATTGACAGTGAAAAATAAGTGGGAGACAGACTACTTTAGTCAGTTCTATTGTCAAAGTTTACGGAGTAAAAACAGTTCAAACACAAATGGTATATTTTTGATGAAAACATTATTTTAGCACCTATATTTATTATTTGTACTCTCAAACTAAGTTGTACTTCCAAGGTCAGCCTGATCAGTCCAAAGAGTGTCATAATCAATACTGGAGCAATTCTTTCTGTTTTAACCATAACCATATAAACATTGAGAAGAAAATCTTGTAATATTTATCATTATATATTAGACACACACTACTTAAAATGTTTAGAAACTAAGACCATACAAAAGAGTAGTTGATTTTTAATAATTACTTTGTTACAGTTTTGTGTTATATATATCGTTAAAGACAAAAGGCAAGTCTAATAAAGAAAAATAGACAAGATTCAATCTAAGTAATCACTGCCTGCCTAGTTGTCTTTGTTATTTGGATGTTAAAGTAAAACTGTAAACATAAGGTAGGCAAATAAAGGTTCAGAAAAGCCACATGTGAGACAGCATATAAAAAAGAAAAAAATATTAACAGAAACCAATTATGATGATTGCTGATCAAATCTGACCTAACTTGAAAGAGTATAAAAAAAAATGCATCATGAATTATGCAAATAAATAAAACCAAAAAAGATATACATCCTTTTTTTTTTTAAATCCCAATAAGATACCAATGTTCACCAACTTACCAATATCAAATATCTGAAAAGAGAAGAATTAAAAGGGAAAAAAATAGATCAGTTCATATCACTAACATATTTCTTAGTTATATTTTAGATATCACTGAAATCTAAAATATTTTAAACTAACTAAATCATTTTATTTATTTTAAAGAAAATTTTAATAAAATGCCCATTTGCTTCAATCCTCGCCTCAAGAAAAAAAAAAAAAAAAAAAAACAACCAAACATGATAGCACTACAACTACTACTGGTCAA